CCGCGCCAGCCGGTCGGCCGCCCGCGGGTGGAGGCGGCCCGCAACCCCCGCCCACGCCCACCGGGGGAGGGAGCGGGCGCCGCGTCCACGCAGAGCGCGCGCTTACGCAGTTCCGCGTCCACCGCTCCTGGTACAATTGGGAAACTGAGCCAGAAAAGAGGCAGGGTCTCGAGGGACCGGCCAGGGCACGCCAGGTGGCAGAGTCCAGCCGCGAAGGAAGGGCTCCTGCTTCCTGGGCCGCGGCTCAGTCCTCCTTTGGGGTTTGCTTTGGGAATGAGAGCCCCTAAAATCCTGGGAATCCCCTGCCCACCCCCTCCAGGCGGGCTCTTTACTCTGGACATCCACGCGCACGCCTACCACGCAGACTTCCTAGGTATCAGAAGGATGGGACACTGGGGAGGTGATAAGGGAAAAGAAGGAAGAGGTTGGAGATTACCCTTAGGGGTAGGAGCAACATGCCAGGGACCCATTGCTTGGGAGGTGGGGACATACCCTGCTGATAGGCAGCTGGGTACTCAAGATTCCCCAGTATGCCTGGCATGGGACATTCCCAGGGCAGCCTGGAGAGGACAGGGCCAGGGTCCTGTGTCCACTACTCTGGACACCTAGAATTAGGCTAAGCAGTCCTTCCCTGGTGTGGAGGTGGCCACAGGGGAGGTCTTAGTTTCCCCTTTGAAAATTGGGGTGGTTGGCCTTTGTGACTCCAGGGTCCCACAGACTCCCAGAAGTTTCTGATGGCATTAGTTCTCCATCAGTTACCCACTGTCCACCAAGCCCCTTGGAAAATGCTTTGTCCTCTCTAGAGGTCCTTCTGAACACAGTAGGCGGGGGCCTTGGAGGACTGAGGACAGTAGGGGTCATGCAGAGTGTTGCCCCACACTGGTTCGGCATCTCAGGTCCAGGGAAGAGACTGTCCCTGTTGGAGCCTGGGGTCCTCCTTTGGAAGTGGGCAGGGTCACTGTCCTAGCTGGGTGAGGAGGCCTCCTGAGTGAGCGTGACACCTCGGGCCAGCAGAGGGACACAGAGGAGCAAGTGAGGCTGCTGAGGTCCTTCCTGTTCCTCTTGGAGTCTTGGGTCCTGCTCCTTTGCCTCCTGGGGCCTGGGAGAGCTGCTGCCTTGACAACATCCAAACAAAGGTGTGTGTTTTGTTTTCTGGGTTTCTTGCCTGGGCTGCAGTGCTAGCGCTGGCCACCAGGGGGCAGAAGTGCCAATGAAGAAAGTGCAGCCAGGAAAGAGTGCCCAGGGTCATGGTCTATGTGCCCTGCCTTCCACCCAGGGACCTCCATCACTAGTATCCCTGCCCACAGTGTGAGCTGCTCAGGGGTGTGGAGGGGCTCAGACCTCCCCTCATCTTTTCCCTAAATACTATGCCCAAGCACTCACCCCAGGCAAGGACCATGTGGGTTCTGGATGTGACCCTTAAAGTGACCGCCATGGGCCCTGCCCTCCAGGACCTGTGTGTATGAAGAGGCACAGGCTCTCTAGTTGTCCCTGGCTGTGTGGCAGCATCCCCCTAATTCACCTCTCACTAC